AATGAACATTCCTTTCAAGATGCTTTCATGGAAAATTGAGTTAACTTTATAAACTTACATTGAGAGATGGATTTCTCTGTAAAGTTTTCTAAAGTATCCTTCATTTGCAGAGCAATTGATCGCCATGTAATCTGAGAACAATTGGAACCAGTGAGGTATTCTATATTCTTCTTCAAACATGTGATCAGGAATAATATATTGCTGGAAAATATGCACATGACATTGATTAAATATTCATGTAGTAAACAGGAAATAATGAAATGAGATTGTCACATTTGACATTCTGTCGAAGAATTTCATTATTCTTTCAATACATAAAAACCATCAAGCAATGGTTTTCTTTCAATTAGCAATGCACACACAAAGACCTAACTTTCCACATACTTCATTAAATTGAAAAATTTATTTTGATACAAGAATTCAATGGCATTTAATTAGAACTTGCCTTAATGTTAAATATATATATATATATATATATATATATATATATATATATATATATATATATATATATATATATATATATATATATATATTAGGGATGTCAACGAATATTCGAATATTCGAATATTCATTCGATGAGTTGATATTCGAATACAAATCTGTGATTCGAATATTCGGTTTTTAAGTATAAGCATTTAATAGAGAGAAAAATCTGACAAGTTTTATTTGAAATTGAATGAAGTTTGTACAGTTGACATGAATAAGATTTGATTTTAAAAAAAATAAAAGACAGTCCTGTTGGATTACTTTAAAAGTGTGAAGAGTGTAATTATTAGAATAAATTATTCTTTGATCATTTAATCAGTGGTATAACAGTACCAATAACCTACAATCAGTTTGTATTGTTGTAAGGACACAGTTTTACGGAAAACACATGGATCCCTTGTTTATGTATATATCATTAAAAATAATTATCGGGAAATTACTTCACTAAAATTAATTGATTTTAATTGTTCTTCAGTAGATAATTGTTTAAAGTGGTATAAATTGGAGTAAGTAGTGTAGACTTTGGTAAGACGATCAGTTAATCTGGAACATACTAAAGAAGCTTTTGAATTGAATAAAGTGCTTACCTACAATATTCACTATCACTCGGGAAATCAGAAACACACTGGCTCTTTATTTCTTTTGTATAAAAAGAGTGATTGAGACACGGGGTTTCTGAAAAAAATATTTAAAAGATAAATATTCTTAGGTTATCAATCTCATGTAACATTAAAAGATTTTTTCATCCTAATACAAATAAACTGACCACACACTTCCACGCCACAGAGTTCCCAGCGGAAACGCGGGTCATCGGTAAAGCACCATGGCTCCTCTCTGTCGAAGTTCCGACAGTAGTTCTCTTTTGCAAGGCTAAACTCATCATACGTGTGTTCGTGTGGGGTCTGTGTATCCCATCTTTGACATGCTCTACCTGTTTCGGTTACGTTTTTGGTTCCTTGATATAAAACTCCTGGCAACCGACAGTCAGCGGAGATAGATTTTGCTTTACATGTAATTGATTAAAGAATAAAAATTTCTTTTTTTTTTCTTTTTTTATGTACATCAGTGTGTTTTTTAATATCCCTTATATTAAAATTATATCTATATATATAGAATAATACATACGTCTGTAATTTTTCTTCAAACTTAACAAATTTTCTTTCTATATCCTAAGAATTACACTGCTTTTTGTATTTTTCATGCGGTTTTGGTTAAAAGTGCTGCACGTATACATGTAGGAAATTGACACAGACCACAAGCTGGTATGACAAAGACTCCTGGTGTAAGTATTTAAATGTATGCATCTTGTTTTTCGATGTACTTGTCTGTCATTTGTTTTCCTAACCACACTGTGCTCTAAATTTCAGCAGATTGTATTCAAGGGCTATTGATAAGCATTGAATATTTTCTGCATAAAATCCAAAGGACTTCCCCTTGTTTGTGATTCATAAACTAACATAGGCATTGAACATTGAACATTGAGGCCTAGGTTTAGCATTCCCATCCAACTTGCAATGGTTGCAGTGTAAACCCCCCCCCGCAAGTAAGTCAAAAGCTCTCCTTTCAATTTTCTTCCGAAGCCAATGAAATATTATACTGAAACTATCAGTTATGTCGCTTTAATTACTTCGAAAAATTATAGAAAGAAAAAAATAACAAACGATGAATTATTGATTCTTATACATGATTGTAATACATGCAATTAATATAATAATATTTATAATTTTCATCATTTTTCATTATCTAAAAAAAACAAAAACAAGTATAAGACCTTAAATGTACATGTAGTAGACAAAACTATGTCAGCCAAAAATATGTTGCTTATTTTCAATCAAGGGCTTTCATTCCATATCCAAGATATTTCAATTTCTATATATTAATGTTTTGATTATTAAAAAAAAATTAAACAAGAAGAAAACATTACACAATCGACAAAATTATAAAGTAACTCCTGTTATATCGAAAAGATAAATTGTAATTACCTGTAAAGGAATATAAAAAGGTTCCAATAAGCAACCTAAAAGTTATCATTTCAGTTTTTTTTTTCATTACAGTTACAGGTTGAGTAAATCTCAGGAGGAAAACATATTGCAAAGCTGAGGTAAGATCATCACGGAATTTAACTTCCTTTCTTTGTATACATTCTATATGCGAACAAGAAAAGAGGATGTTAATGTTTGTAAGTATTTCCTTTATGTGATGTTTTTTCCTATAAATCTGCACATTACTTATATATATTTGCACACATCTTTAAAAGCATTAGTCAATATTTTTATAATGAAAAAGACCGAGGCTTTGTAACTTCCATTATTTCATTAGGTATAACATCACATACGCTTGTTTTGTTCGAAAGTATTCAAAGCTTTGAAAAAGGTTATCAAAATATATATATACATCTATCCTTCATGCAAATAATATATTTAGGACATTTGAAATAGATTCAGATCATATTGTATTAAAAATTGCAATTCGAACTAATTTGAATACTTTGAAGTATTAGGTACCAGTCCACATAAAAATTAGACAAAATTTAAAAGATCTGATACAGCCTCTCTTATGAAAAAAACGTCAATATAAAATTTTAAAATGTTGTCTTGAAAGAAAAACAAAGTACTCAAAATTTGGGGAAGCTTGTTGACGTAATACAGCTAAGAGATTGATTTGAAAAGTTCAAGGAATGTCTGTCCTATATATAATACAAAGAGTAAACTTGTGATTGTTTTTTTTTTAAATGGCCAGATGAATTTACATAAAATATAAATGTTACAAGATAGTTTGAACAAAGAACTACCTATTTCATATAAAATTTCCATTGGCTCTGCCTTCATTAGTTTGTAGTAAGTCTCTATGCGTAACGAGTTTACTGCAAAATATATTATCTCCCTTTGTAGAGCTCTTTTGCTTTAGAAACAAATTTTAGACTATGAAAGTATGGCAGACGATCAAACAAATGTAATCAGAACTAGAGCAAAGCTCGTTGCAAAGCAACGAGTAGGTCTTCCTTCTTAGCAGTAAGCAGAAAGTGAAATGTTTCATTTGTCAACTTTACAACCTTTCTTTATTTGTTTGACTCAAATAGCAAAAACCCGTTCTTAATGTCTGAATCTGGAGTGAGCACGAGGATAAAAAATCCAATGGTAATCTCTCCACCAGCATTGAAACTGTACCCACAAAACTTTTACTCCCTCATATTTTGACTTGATTTGTAGACACACATCATCTTTGATGCAATCATGTTACCAAAGTGTGGCATACTACAGAAATATCAGTGTTTTGATACATCATGATCTTAAAAATTGCTTTAAAACATTTACACAATATAATTAAATAGTGAGAAATCCCAATGTGTTACTGATTAACTATCTCCTTTTTTTCGTCAATCAGTAAAAAGAACAATACTTTTACAAGAAATACATAGGAATGTGTTGTGTATGTCTCTAATTTGCAGCCCTCCACTACCAAATGGTGGTATCTCAATAGGAGTGTAGTGAAATTCTCTGAACAGGGCATTCAACAAAGAGATCTCCTTTTGAAAGCATTGCTTTTCATTTGAACAAATCTTATTTCCCTACACTACAGAATGCTGTGTGCCAAGTTAAGCTTAAATTTGTCCGGTGGTTTCGGGTAGAAAATAAAATTCTGAAGAATTTAAGACAAAGATGATAATGTGTGAATTTTAATTTTAAAAAAAAATTACTATAGCTTTAGCTCATAAGAGCTAAACTGTATACAGAGTTAGTGCTTTGTTGACTTTGAAATGTAGCTGGACATCTCTTTCATATTATGTTTGAAACTAGAGGTACTGTGAGCGATGAGCTCACTAAATGATACCCCCACCTCCCGTTTGGTTATAATGGCAAAGTCCATGTTTTGCTGTGGCCAGAAAACCCAAAATATGTGTCAGATCAAAAAGTAAAATAGGAGGTGCACAATGGCAATATGAAATAAAGATTCTGTAAAAGTTTCATCAAATTTCATTCAGTGGTATATGAGGAGTTGCGGATAAGAGATGGGTACCCAAAAGCGTAACAGACGGACGGACAGAATTAACGATTACTACATATATACCCTTCCGCTTTTCAAGTGGAGGGTATAACATGTCCTTTGTGCTGAATCATGCACATATGTTATGCTTTAGATGTTTATACCTAAATAGCAACTTTCCTTCAATTATACGGTAAAAATACACATATAAGATCTTATATATTGCCGCTGAAGATCATCTTGACCATTAAAATTGGTATTTTTTCCCTAGGAAGCGGAAGACCTAAATACAGATGTTAAAATGAAAGATCTGACACATATTTAAAAAGAAGATTTATTCCAAACTTAAACATAGATTCTGTAACAAAATCTATTTTTCTTGAAAAACTGAAAGCAATTGATAATATTTTTGGATTCATCAAAACTTAAAACATGATATACTTAAAGTTATCTTCTTAAACTGAGAATTGACTGTTTCAATTTCATTGTGCTGTTTATTCTTTGTTATCTCCCAACAGAAGCTTTTCTGGCAAATCATAATCATGCTTGGCATCAAATGTCAGTACTCAGATGACAGTCACACCTATCAAAAAGAAATTGAAATTTTTTATTGAACTTTTTTTTTTTAAAGTGTAACTTATAGGATAAGATAAACCATCAATCTGAGTTCAAAGATACTGTTACATTTTCTTCATGTGTATTATTTGTAAAAGTACTCTGTAAGTATAATTATACTTATGAACATGATGAATAGAGGTTTACAGGCAGTCATTTGAAGATGTAATAAAATAACATATTAGTTTTTCATGATTTCAAATAAAGAAAATGTACATTACTTGTTCATGTCTAAATTTTTTAGGAATGGTTTTGGTTAACAGTTTTTAACCGACTAATCAGTCAGAAAGAATGTATACAGTTATGATTTTTCATGTGTCAGGATAAGGCCATTCGTAAAGGTGTTTCAGCACATTAGGAACAATGCACTAATGAAGTGACAAAACACTATCGCATAAGGAACAATGAGCTAGCGCAAAGTAACAATGTGGCTCTAGCTAAATAACTGTAAATGTATTACATTTGGCTTGTACGATATTTGTTGGAGATTCAATTTTTAACAAGTTAGCATAGATTTGATTTAGCACTCTCTGAATTTGCTAGTTATGAAAGTTAATATACAAGACATTTAGACAATTAGCTGAATCTGCTCTCCGCCAAAATCGCTGAATAGAATACACTGCTGAATGTAATACATTTACAGTATAACACTATGCTACTAATTTTATGACAAACATGCTTAGGACACTTACACACTAGTGTGAAGTAAAAATGTGCTACCACCCTTATGACAATGGGTTAGTGTGCTTATAACAACATGGTGACAATGTACTTGTGTGTTTGTAACAATGTTTCAGCAGGATGTTTACACCATGCTGTCAAGCTTACACAAAATAGATTTTGTAAAGTTGTGTTAGCATGGTAGCATATTTTGTGTCAGCACAACTGCATGTTGTTTTAAGTTGCCTTAGCCCGACATTGTTCCTAGCACGCTTTTACACTTTAATTTACAAATTGCCTTTTCAGGACACCATATTTTTCCTAACCGACTAGCTATGTTTTTTGTAAAAGTACATGTACCAGGGTACATGTAAATCATTTTTATGCATCCAGAGATCCGGGGCGTACATTGTTTTTGTCCTGTCTTTCTGTTTGTCTGCAAACTTGAACCTTTGCCATAAGGCATAACTTTTCAACCATGAAAGATACAGACTTCATATCTAGTATGCCTATTCCACTGATTAAGCTCTTTCAAATATTACCATGGTCAATGACCTTGTGACCTTGAATGTGACCTATATACTAAAAGTAGCTTTTTGAATGCAAACTTTAACCTTTGTCATAAATATGCATACTTCACTAATTAAGTTCTTTTCAATGACACCAAGGTCAATGACCTTGTGACCTTGATTGTGACCCATATGCTAAAAACAAAAAAATAGTTTTTTTAACCTTCACTGTTACTTTTGAACCATGAGAGGCAGAGACTGCATATTTGGTATATATACTCCACTAATTAAGCTCTTTCAAATGACACAAAAGTCAATGACCTTGTGACCTTGACTGTGACCTTTATGCTAAAAAAAACCTTTTTTTTTTAAATTTTGTTGCCGCTGGATGCATAGTGTTTCACAAACACATCTTGTTTTCATTTAATTTTCCGTATGTTTTTAAAAGACGAAGAATTAAACTCAATTTTCTATAAGCTTCTATTCATTATAATTGTTCGCCTATTAGCGTTTTTTACTATATAACCAAATACATCATTGTCTGTTTTGGTAGCCTAGTGGTAGGGCATTCGCTTTGTATAATCATGAAGCCAGGTTTGATTCTAATTCACTGCATCAAACCTAAGACAAAAACATGCATGCAGTAATGTACCTTAACCATGCAACAAGCATTTGAAGTGAATGAGACCTTAAAAACCTCACAGTAGATGTTAGGACAATGACCCTAGTTGCAAGTAGCCAAGTAAAGGTCTAAATTGAAGCTATTCACCAGTATATATTAACATCTCTAAATGAGTGAAAATTCTCAAATAATATTATCAATCAAAGTATCTATAAGAAGCTATTCCTTACCTCGAAGGTTCCAATCCCATTGCTAAATGCTTGAGACAGGTTACTCTGATGAGACTGTATAAACCGAGATTCTGTGTCACAGTTGGAAATGGCACAAAAAGGATCCCTTACTTCTCAAAGGCAATAAATGCTGAGTGCAAGTCTATATTTGCAGCTTACTATCCCAAGCGGTGGCATCATAAAATGACTGAAAAATGATTGATAGGCCAATAAACAAACAAACCACTCCTGAGTCTTATCACAGGAAAAATGCAAACTTTACATTATTACAACTTTTTTTTTTAATTTTCCTTTGCAATTTAACTGATCAACATTTGTGCAATTTTTTATCAATTAAATTATGATACTAAACACTTTGTTTGAACAGCTATTTATAGTGAGTACAGACAGCAGCACAAAGCGCTGCTCATAATGCGAGCTCTTATGACAATGCCTTGGCGATGAGAAAATTATAACTTGCACGTTGATCCATACAACTTTTTTCCTACAGTAACTTTGGACCCACAGTGCTTTGCTTTTTTAAGCTATATTCTTGTAAGCATGACTAAAACTTGAAAGTTTCAAAAAAATAAACTCACCTTGATCTAATTGATAAATTGCAGTTAAATAGTGAAAAAAAAAGAAGAAATTCTTAATTCATTTAAGTCAGCACTATTCAAGCTTTAGACTGCAAATGTACCGGTAGGCCTAACTTACACTACGACGTCATGTGACTTCAGAGTCTTAGTAGTGCCCTGTTCACATGAAGAGTTAAATTCGCAGTAATTTGTCGCAAAGTAAACTAATTAAACTCTCTGTGTGAACAGGGCCATCTTCGCTAGCCAAGGGTTTCTGATACGCTACTCTCCTCATAAACCCTTGTCCTACAGTGTTCATAGAAATGGGGATTTTTTACCAGAGTTCTAATTGGATTTCAGTACACCCAGGTCGACCAATCAGCAATTGTTTTTTGTAAATGACGAAATTTGCGTTTGGGATGCATCTTCACTCTTTAATCTCGGAAATGAAAAACGGAAGTAAACAACGATCTGTAAGATAACATTCAATTCTATGAATAGCCATGCATCATGACCAGGTGTCATCCAATATCTTCTAAATATGTGATTATATAGGAATCTACATTGAAGCTTCAGATTTGTTCTATAAATAATGAATAAACATAACTCAATTATTGCTTCTTAATTACCGTAATTAGGGGAGTATAATACGCATTTTTTTCCTAAAATAAATTTCTGTGAGAAAGGGATGCGTATTTTACATCACAATGGGATTTTGACAAGTTTTTCTTTCAGGTGCAACACGGCTATCATACGTACATACCGTAGTATTACCTAGAGACACATGCAATTTCTTTTGTTAATTGCCATATTTTAAACTTCGGAAAGTTATTGTTGGAAGGTATGCTTCTTATAAATGTCACTTTCATAATCTTTTTATGCCCAAATAACATGAAAAAGTAAGTTAAAAGTAATTTGAGCTGCATGTTGATTGTCTCCGAGGAGGCCGCCATTACCGATGTTATTTTTAGACGTTCACTCATAGCTATGTCACGTGCTTCCGGAATGAAAGTGCACATGCACCTTATCTGCCAGACAAAGTAATAAATCATTTTTTAATGAAATACAATGAAATAAATATTAATTTTAGGTTTAAAATAACTCAGTGATAATCTGCAACAATATTAACACCCCTCAATACGTCCCAATGAAAGGAAGCCAATGTTGTGACACACGTGCGCTGGTCAAATGATAATTACCTATCAACACCCCTCGGGGCAATTAATTGTCTACCGACTCCAAAGCAATGTTTTTACAGTTAGAGCACTGATTATTTACTGCCATGTTAATTGCTGTGATTATTTTCTTTGTTAAAAATTGGGGGTCGGTTTATGACCTTTCGTATGTTTGAGCATGGTGAGCATGTGTTGATTACGGCACTTAAACAATTAAACACTTGTTAAATGTAATTTTACCTTATCTTATACTTATCGGCCTCTTGTTTAAATAATTGAGAGTTGAGAAATGAAATATAAATTATGCTAAAACTTTTAATAAAAGTGGTATCATTTAGAAAATAAGATATCCGCGAAGATTCAGAAGAGGAAAATCGTAGTCTTGTTAAAGAAATAAATACTTTGATGTTTCAATTTCGTTTCCTGTTAAAATATTGTAAGATAATTTTAAGCATGATTATCTAGAACCAAAATTAAATATGACAACTGATAAAACTTTCGACAATATCTCTTGCTTTGTTAAAATAAAATTATTTCATCTAAGAATATGGCGACGCATAATTTCAAAATCACCGTAACTATTCTTTAAAAAAATCTGTTAACATTTTTACGCAACATTATCTTGTGCTTTGTTGAAATTAATGAATAAATAATTTTCTCCAGATTGCCGAGATACGGAATGTCAGGATTAAGAGAAAGTTATAAAGTGTGTATTTTAAAAAAAGTGTGTTCAGTAAATTTTTGACACCTAATCCTCGCGCCAATTTTCGTAACAAATTACCGTGATTTTCATAGTTCAGAACATTGCTTGGTAAATTTTTCTGTTGCGTATAATACATCCGAAGTGCGTTTTTTTCTCCAGTTTCAAACTCAAAAAGGGGGGTGCGTATTTTACATCAATGCGTATTATACTCCCCTAATTACGGTACTCTTTAAAAAACTTTGATTTAATTTTTTTTAACACGTATCTTTATTTCTGGCGATGATGCAATCTGTGCGTACCTTATAGATTCGAGATCACGTGATGGAAAACAATCCCGTCTTTTAACTTCACCGTATGCCAATTTAAGGGTTTATGAGGAGAGTAGCGTATCAGAAACCCTTGGCTAGCGAAGATGGAACAGGGCATCAATGCACCAAATTTCAATTGCTGTTTGACAGGCCCGATCTAAATTAAAACTGAATAAGTGTCTGCCCTCACCCTAACAGTCGCACTGGCAACATATTAGTTGAAGAATATACACTGTAACAATAAGTGTAGTGTGAATTAGAGTATCACTATGATGGATAGTGTTGTGTTGAATTTTTGCATTTTTGGTTTTGAAAGCGAGTCTTGTTGAAATTACATGTTCACATATATTTAAGTACAGGTCTCTGTAAGAATCAGACAATATGTGTATAAAAGTGAATCATGAGGGTTCTCAGAATTCGATGATTTTACACACATAGGTTTCTCTTACCCTATGAACCACGTATGTAAAGTGAAAATTATTTTGGGTCCTGGTTACTATGGAAACATGGCCAAAGAAATTTTCCCTAGCAACCGGTCAATTTTCCATGTTTATGGACAAATATATCACTAAAATTAGAGGCTTGAAATTGAATGTGAATATTACCAGAGGGGTTCTTAAATAATGTTATCATAAAGATAAACATTTCAAGTGATAAAACCATGTAATACATACCATTTTTATTTCAAGATATTTCTTTTACAGGCAATGGAAGATATGCATGTTTTGCATTTTTTGCTGATTCAGCATTTTTGTTAATTTGGGCAATTTTCAAGGCCATATATCTCAAACTTCTTGCACAATACAAGAGTATGGTATATTTTACATAAAGGCAGAGGAATATCCTTTTTGGAATTTAAATTCAAAAACGTGTGTTTTTTAATATTTACAATTGGTTGCCTAGCAACAAAAATGGATGTTTTGATTAAGAGAAAGAGACAAATTGTCAAATATGCGAGTTATTTATGGAATTAAATCTTATCGGTGGATACCAAAATCAATTTTTAAAGTAAAAACATATTTCTGAGACTTCTTCATGAATCCAGGAATATTTTGCATATACTTATCGCCATAGTAACAGAAAATTTCCCTTAGCAACAAAGAAAATAAATCCACTTTTGACATGCACTCATATATGTTTGTAAAGATTATTCAGTGTTTGACAGACCACAGTGATTTAAGAGCATCAGTACATTTTTTGTACTTTATTAGTCCCCAACCCATGAAACTGGAGGGGGCTATAGGTTTCCTCTGAGTCTGTGCGTCGGTCTAGCTGTCCCTATATCTGTCTGTAAGTCTCTTCTACTTGGGTTTCCACACTTATTTTCTAAACGCTTGCAGATATTAAGCTGAATTTCGGCATGTGAGTGTATCTTGGTAAGTCACAGATCAAGTTTGAATGTTGTTACGCTTCATTGATTTTTGATAGATTTATGGCGTTTTAATTTTTTTCATAATGGTTTAAGATCGGGTTCGTGCTGTGCTAAATTCCAAAGGTCAACATGGTGAACATGAATGATGATGAAGCCAAAAGAAGATGTTTAAAAAAAAATGAGTTAAATTTCCGTCTTTATGCGTTTTATTTTTTTTTTTAGATTAAAGGCATGCATAACCTCAAAATTTTTAACATCAAACACTTTAGCATGGTCATAACTTTTGCATATTATAAAATGACATTCTAGAGAAACCGGTAGGGGCATGCATTGCTTTAGTCCAAAAAATCTGACGTTTTCCTGGCATGTAAAGTATCAAAATCGTAAAAAAAAACCAGGAAAACGTCAGATTTTTCGGACTAGCATTGCTTATGCAATAATCTCAGAATGTTTTTAACGTTTACACATGGCAACAACAATGAGCATGTAGCAATCATGAAAAGTTATTAAGCGCCATATGGCATTTTTTAACATGTGTAGAGTGTTATAGTTAACATTTGTACCTATAAACAAACAAGTGGCAAGGTTCCAGGCAATAAAAGTTAGACGAGTTTTCTTTCAATCTCAATCTCACAGTTACATGTAAAGGGGTTGAAATAAATGTACAACAAAATATTAGAGAAAAGAGCCTTGAAACATTTTCCAGGGACGAAACCAAAGCAAGCCTTCAACTGTATAAATATGCATGTTTTTATTTTATCCTATATTTAAAAAAAATCACATTTCTATATAACTCACTCAGATGATCAATATAAACACATTGTTTTGGTCATAAATAGACATAATTAATATAGATTTTCACATTTCAAAATTTTCAAACTTTATTCTTCCAAAAAGAGCAGTGCTAGGGAATTAAGCAGAAAAAAATGTGCATCAGTTAAAATTTGAAACAAAAGGCCCAGGGACCACATCCCTCACCTGAGCACCGTAGCAGGGATCAAAGCAAAAATCAGTTCAGGCTTGGAAAGCTTAAATATATTTGTGGTCCCGACCTACCCCTAAAAGGGAGGGG